GCCTGGGCCGAACCAGGCCGCGGCCACCGTGCAACATAGGCTGAAGGTACTCGGTGGGATCGACAACATCCGCGGCTTCAGAGGTCCTGACGTGGATGCGCCCTGATCACCTGAGTGAGGCTGATCAGCGATGAATGGGGAAGCCTCCCTTACCTGTTCTAACACCGCGGCCACTCGTCCCTGGTTCAAAGCTACAGGCGCGGCCGCAGGAGGCGGCTGATTGCGTTTCGGCTGAGGGCAATCTCGAGCGAAATGCCCTGGCTGCTTGCAATTATAGCATTTGATTTTTCCTGCTGGATTAACCATCTGAAGAGGAGTGGCGGAGTGAACTGGTCCACCCGTGGGAGGAGCTGTAAGCAACGGGTACTGAGCAGGAATGGGGCGAGAAGGGCCAGAATTAACCTTTACCAGTTTGGTCATGATTTGTTCTAGTCGATCCATTTGAGAGGCCTGCATTTGCAATAGGTTTCATCCCTTCGAACTGTTTAGTCGTGGCAATGTGGATCATCTGAGCTAAATGCAGATTAGTGATGGGGATCGAGGCGGTTTCTTGGGTCATGACTGTGTTTACAGGTGCGATCTTCGGAGGGGGAGGCGGTTTTGAGAGATAGGGGATGAGACGAGGAGGGTTCCGGGATAGGGCCATCCTGATAATCGTGATCGGGTCGAGGATAGAATCGTTCTACCACTCTGAGCCAGGATCGTTTTTTGTCCACCACATCCTGGATTGTATCCGATATATCTTGTTCTCCCTGTCGGATGTATTTACGTGTATCCAACAGATCCAATTTGAGGGCCTTGGCTATGATGACTGACAGTTGGTTGGTCTTGGGAGGGGCCTTTTTTTGCAGTTTCGTTTTCAGCGTGGGATTACGAAGGTGATCGATGAACAAATCTCAAGCCGCGTTCTCTTCCCGCCCCGACTTGTCTAAGGCGGTCTGAAATCGATCTACAAAGTCAGGTAATAATTCCCCAGGTTCTTGTGGACGGGTTTTTAGTATGAACCAGGCAGCATTTTCACTGACCGCGTCAAAGCGTGCCAAGAACGCTCTTTTCAAGGTATCCCAATCTACCCACATGTGTCTTCTAAACCAATCGTGCGCAGTGTTTCGAAGCAGCAAGGTAATGACGCGAGGAAGGTCCTCGGCGCCATAGCCTTGCGCTTGCACGGCTTCAAGCCATGCCTCCGGGTGAGTGTAGTTAGGATAGACGAGAAAAGTGGCGGGGATACTTACCATCACCCGTGGAGGCGCTCCATTGGCTTCACCCATAGGCATCTCTGGTCGGGCTTCGACAGATCTTTGCCTAGTGACCGGCGGACTGAGGCGGCTAGGTTGTTTAGCGGCTCTTCCTCTCGCCAGCTCGTCTCACTATTGTCAGAACCGACACGTGTCGGCTCCGATACCAACCTCACGCCCCGTGCTGTCTTCCGTTCGGAGCACTAAGTGTGCGGAAAAGAGGCCCAGAAAAACAGCAAGATGGGGTGTGCCAAGGATTTTTGGAAATTGAGTGTGGGGACACAGACAGAACTGAAATCCCCCGTGACGGTCCGATGAAGTGAGTCGGTTGTTTTTCGCGTGTTACAGAATGCTTGCACGAATTCAGCGCTAAAAGGAGAGAGGAATACAAATTTAATCCAAAAAGTGTTGTCGGACTTCCCACCGTGATACGGCCCTTCGTTTAGAGCAAAAAGGCTTCGGCACGCTTCGCGTGTCTCGTTTGCGTATTAATTCACAGCGTCGCTCACTGATCAGTTCTGAGTCCGACGTGGAGGGTCTCAGTCGTGTGGCTCTTTCTCTATGTTCGTCGTCGTTCCATATACGGTAGTGGAAACCCTTGGATTCGTAGCGCTCCAAACGCTGGCACTCAGTGCACAAAGTGCGAGGCCAGTGGGGTTCTACTGTCGTCCACGGAATGACGATCAACTCGTTAAAGGGCAATAATATCGAGTAAGGCGGAAAGTGTGTATCGATAATGACAAATCCAACGTCCACGAATCTTGAGCAACGATTTTCAGGAGGAAAGTAGTATCGTCCGCCGATCCTCGCAACAGCTTCTCGTACGTCCCACTCGCATACACGTGATCCGAGCAACGATTTGCATGATCTTGGGGCGTCATCAAGAGAAGAAAACAACACCCGCACAACAACCAATCAATTCTTTTTGACACGAGAGAGAGAGAGAGCGCTTATCAGTTTGATCATGCATTTAACCGAGGGACCGACCTGCGACTCAGGTTTAGTAAGCCAACGCGACGTTGATCCGAGGCGCCTTGTTTTCCGAGGCTGCCCTGCAGATCGGTTGCAGATGTCATGCAGCAATAGGCAGATGACATGCGCAGTGCATTTAGAACCATAGATCTAAACACTCTTGCATTCTCAAACAAAACCCCATCGATCGTCGAGTATAATCAATGCAAAAAGACAAGCATCTACATACATACATCCACTGTAAGTGCGAAAATGACCAGGGGTGCATAGGTCAAAAATCAACCGAGGGAATTGTACACACGCATCCACCATTCACAAAACAAGAGGATCAATTCCTCGACATCTGGGAATTACCCAGGAAACTAATGGAAGAGTTCCAGAAGAAGTTCCTTCGCACAGGAAAGCACACAGATTCATTCTTATTCACGGGAAGGACAAACTCATGACACAGCGTCATTCGACTCAGAGAAAGAGGAGAGAGAGAAAGAGAGAAATGTCGAGAGAGGAGCTACGAAGATCCGAAAGAGGACATTCGGCGTTGCAGCCGTGCACTCACACCAAAAGATAAAGATCCGCAACAACAAAGGCGCTTTCGCCGTGAATTTCTAGTATGGCCCTGGGCCAATCACTCACTCAACTCCAATCACCGATCCTCATATCCGCACCGACGATCCCGACCGTCGCGTGTCAATTTCCGCCGCTGCGATCGTCACCCCGCCGACGCAAAGTCGACGCGGTTCGCCCAGATCCCACAGTCCGTCGTGGCGATCAAACGCGCAACCGGCCAGCCTATCGTCAGCTCGACATGACTTTCCGACTCGCGCCAAAACACTCCGCCTAGCCACTGCTTCCCGGAAGTTGGATTGGGAGTCGAGAACGTAAGAGAGATTTGCGGACGCGCTTGCGGAATTTATAGTTGCGAGAAGGGGGATAAGGGAGGGAGAAGGCAGAGGGAAAGTCGAGGTGTAAGAGAAGAAGCAGGAGGAGGAGGCTTAGCGGGGAGTGCGTTGCGGAAGCCATGTTGATCCTTCAGAACCCAATGGTCGGCCAATCAGATTCGTGGCGCAATAGGAAGATCCTCTTACTCAACGCGTCTGATTGGTGAGCCGGGGTGATTGGAGGATCAACCGGGCTTCATGAGCCAAGGTTGATGAGCGGGAAGAGATGAAGCGCGAAAAGCAGCGCGAGACGAGTCTAAGATTTAGACGTTAAGAAGGGGAAGCAGGCGCGCAAAAAGCAAAGAGGGAAAAACAGTTGCGATAGGAGAAGGAGAAGAGGGGGAAGGGAGAGGGGAGAGTGTGGGGGAAGGATGGCGCGGGAAATAAGGAGGAGGATGCTCGCATGCGCGGTGCCGACAGCAAGAGAAAAAGGCATCGAAACAGTTACAGCTTGCCTATATCCTATACCAATTCAAAAATTGAAATCACCATATCTGACTGCGAAAGTCGACGCGGGAAAAGAAAGTCCTATGCCTATCCGTATTCTCGCAAAATTCCTAGTGTTTTCTCCAACGTGACCAAGAACATTCATGCAAGGAAAAAGATACGTCGGGCTCCGCTTATTCCGTAATTCCTATCTGTCGAGCCCGATTCCCAGCGCGCTCGCTAAGGCGCGCAAAATTTCCCGTGCATTTCCCGAATTGCAAAAAGGCAGACTTCAAAAATCAATAGAACTTCCGAAAAATGGGGGCTCAAACAAGGCGCCTGAAATCAAGAAAAGCGACGAGGGTTCTGCGGGGTCGGTATGATACACAAAACGGGTATTGGGCCAAGGGGGTAGGAAAGATAGCACGGGGTCGGGAAGTAGTTCGTCACATACGTGATGGCTGTTGCTCGCAACTGGTCCCCTGTTTTCCAGTCTTTCCTTTCATTCTCCCAAAGGTCCCCTACCCTAAGTACACCATGTTTAACCCAGCTCTTCCAGGAGTATTTCGTGACAACTCTAGACGGGAGTTTCGCGAATTAAAGTCTAGAGTGAGTGGAGCGAGGCCGAACTCACGAATCATCGTGTAGTGGAGGGAGACCCACTGTTTCGTGCCACACCTGATCAAGGTTTTTTTTTTTTTTTTTCTCCCTCTCTTCCTTTTYTTTCTCTCTCTCTCTCTTTTTTTTTTTTTTTTTTTTTTTTCACCTTTCACTATCTACCTAGCACTACTCCTAAGCTTATACAGGGGCATGCATGTTGCCCTGGGCCCTAATAGGCGCTGGTCAGGGAGTAGGGTGGGGCCGCCGGTTGGGGGGGGCTGGGCTGGTTAACGCGAGGACCGAGCATTTTGCCAGTACCCGCACCTCCCATCTACTTGCCCCACCCCGCATAGAGTAGCAGCAGTGGCTATGCCCAGCACTCTCCCACACATCGCACACAACCCACTCACGCTCACACTCACACCCCTGTTGGTCATAGGCCCGACTATACCGAACAGGGGTATCAAGCGGACTATCGCAATAGGTTGGCACTAAATGCACCGCAGGCAGTCATGGGGCCGGTCAGTTGGTACACCCGCGACCGATTGAAATTATACAGAACGATAACCACCGGTCCTACCGGTAGGTCTCGCTTCACCACCTGGGGCTACCGGTAGGCCCGTTGGTTATCGTTCGGTGGGAGCTCCCCGCCACCGCCGGTACACATTTCCCCAAATCGCCCCCCCGTCTAGGGGACCCCACCTCAGCCGAAGGGGGGCTACCGTAGGCCACCTTCGACCCCGGTTCCGAAGCATCCGTGGTAAACATACCCTGCGGAGAAGCGACCACCTGGAGAAACGAACGATTTCACACTCAGCCGTTGCAGGCGGTCCGTTGCACATACCGGAAGTCGAACGGCCGACTGTGGCTATAGCTGTGGGAGTGGGTGTGCTTACGCTACGGTGCGTTCTTCTTGGCCTCCCTCCTCCCTCCCGCCCTCTCTGTCCGGCTGTCTGTCTATCTGTCTGTTTGTCAGTCTGGCGCTGTGTGTGGCAGTGTCTGCGCGTGTGCGTGTCCCCCTCGCTCACTCACGGTCTATGGTCTCGCTTCACCAGATCGGGTCTGCCTTCTCTCTCTCTCTCTCTCTCTCTCTCTCTGTGTGTGTGTGTGTGTGTGTGTGTTGTTTCTTCAGTGGATCTCTCTGTGTGTGTGTGTGTGTGTGTGTGTGTGTGTGTGTGTGTGTGATCATGATGGCTATACGTCATTCCACAGAAAAGGGGCCGGCCTTTGGCACAGTGATTGATTGCTGGAATGAATGAATGATTGAATGATTGTTTGATTGGTGGAATGAATGAATGATTGAATGATTGCTGGAATGAATGAATGATTGAATGATTGATTGATTGATTTGTGAAAGAAGAAGAGAGAGAAAAGGGGAAACACAAATGAACAAAAAAACAAGCGAAAATGAGGGCGTGCCCGAAATATTTGACCGAAAATGAGGGCGTGCCCGAAATATTTGACCCCCGCATCTTAATTGAGTTTTAGTTTGTTTTCTGGGATTTGCCAGATAACGACGGTGACATTTTTGGTAGGCATATATAGCCTATATGCAGGGGAATGGGCAAAAAAAAAAGTAAAAGAAAAAGGGCCCCCAAAATCGGGTTTGATGTGTCACGCCAAACGCCCTGAGGCTCAAGTTTGGTGGGCGGGGGTGTGTTATTATAAGACACCCGTGGAACGGGGAGGTAACACTGAATTTTATGTTGTGTAGGACTGCATTCAAAATATGCATGATAAATTATCGATTGTCTCTCTCTACGTTTCTAAACCACAAATAAATTTCAATAAATATATTGATAATATACATATTTAGATGAAGATACGAGTATACGGAAAGTATTACGGATGTAAGTAAAAATGTATGCCAATAGATAGGAGTAAATATCATACTATCTACATATCTAAATCAATATACCAACAACACAGAAACTCCGACGAAAGAGTTTGTCACAGCCCCTCGTTTGTTGTCTTCTTCTCCCCCTCTGCCTACGGTTTACCGGGCAGTTCTGTTTGACGCGATATATATATTGTCACATTGTGAATCAGAGCGCAAAAAAGGGAAAAGAAAAAAGGAAAAGGAAAAAAGGGAATATATTGTCACATTGTGAATCAG